CAGAGATTAAATGGGGCAGATGATATATACAGCAATGAATCTCAAGGGCAGAGAATGCTAGAGCAGAAGAAGATACCCTGTTCTTTGATGCTACTGCCTGATAAACCAACAAACTTTCAATAATACAGAAGGTAAATTTACTATTTCTAAATATGCAGCTGCACTGGTATAATCGTTAGAGTACTTGCCCGCAGAAACTATTTCTATTTAGTCTGACTCTGATTCAAACCAGTTTCATAAAAATGGGTAACAGGTAGATTCCAGAATTTTATGGGAAGGAAAGGCAATGAGGAAAAGAACTGACCACCCTCACTCATATTCGTAGCATAGTATGTGTGGAAGCCTAACAATTCACAGCCCAATAGCAGTATCTGCTTTGGGGGTACTTTAACCTGTATGTATACTGAACACTACTTTTACTGGATGTGTACAGAAAGAATTCAGTGCAGACCTGATAAGGAGAACTCAACCAGGACACAATAAATAGTTCATCTTATCAGAAATTCTTCTTTTCCAGTTAAGATTTCAAGCCCAAAAAAAATGTCGGGAAAAAACAAATTGTTCTTCACAAAAGATATTCGCCACACCCGACATCGCCTCAAGTGGTCTGCACTGTATACTACAACACACAAATATTTATTAAGAATATATACGTCTGTACAAATGAAACATCACTGAGACAAACCACCCACTGAAGTAACATTTCCCTGACATATATATCTCAACATTTCTGAGGTATCGGATGAAAAAACATGAATGTAAACAGACGCACTGCCAGGATGATCCTCTGCCTGTATATGTACAAAGCCCTCTCCCATGCCCATGCGACCAATCTGCACTCAGTGGGCGACATGGGTAGCATCATGCCGGCCACCTTCACTTCCCAGGATTTTACCTGGTACCCATTTTAGGCTGGGCGGAACTGGGAGCCAGGGTCATTTCTGAAACAAATCAAAATCAGACTTGATACACAATTGAGCCCATGACCCACAGGCCCAAGTGCGAGCAACTAGCCTCTGAATCAGTTACATGTATAAGCAACATAATCTGAGGGAGCTATGGTAATGTAGTTGGTAGACACTCCCAACCCTGGCTCCCAGGCTGCCCCAGCCTAAAATAGGTACCAGGTAATATCCTGGGAAGTTAAGGGGCTGGAGTGAAGCTGATTGCATCATTCACCGAGTGTCGAGTGGTCTATACAAATATGAGTTAGCATATGCTTGATGCGCCACTGCCGGTGAAAGGATTCTTTACTTTACTTAACATAATCAGAACATCATTGTACTCAATGCCCACACAGGACATCTTGTCGCAGACAATGGGGTATCAAAAGTACAGGATCACACATCAGTCACGGGGAGGGGAGCGGGAGCATCATCCAGCCTATCAGGAGAGAACAGTTCGGAGAGGTGAAGTGAAGATATTCCTCACAGACCCTGTGGGGATGATAATTTAGTACAAATGTGGAATGAAGTCTCTATATCACCTCTAACAGATTCAAGCATTTCTCAGGGCTCAACCAAACTCAACAACCATGCAGTCTTCTAATGGATTCACCAACCAACAATGGTGGATTAAAGATAGTGAGCCAACCAAGGCCAGAGGATGAAGTTCCTTATCTCCCCAGTATAAAGTTTGGGCAGAACTGTAGAGACCATATGCTGATCCCTCACTTGGCCATCCTTGTTTAGTCCAAAGGAAAGGCAACACAAGTTTGTCTGGAACAATGCATGCTGCAGAAGCTACTAGATAAAAGAGCAGTGCTCTGCTCAGTCTACATGTTGGATCTTCAGAGGTATCATAAAAAACAACATGATCTCAGCAAGGTGTACATATTACTGACAGTGTATGTAAGAAATAATTATGGCCTCAAATCTGACAACTATCTGTTCTGGCAGCCACAACACAGTATGCATACTACTTTTCCTTTAACTGTAATTTCCAAAAGAGACCAGAACGGTTTTTTTTTTCTAGACAATGCACAACAAAAATGAAACTGGTACATCAAGACTGTGAAATGAAGCCTGCTCCCCAACCTCTACACCACATACTACTATTCTTCAGAAGCTGTGAAACAGAGATTTGCTGTTGAAACAGAAAAATGGTCAAGCCATCCTCTACAGCATAATATCACTACTGACCAATTTTTTTTTTTTATATTCCAATGTCCATATTGCAGGATCGTCAGGCTCACAAATTCAACAACCGCTACGTAACCGTGAAATAAGTGGCTAGATACAGGCATATATCATTCCACAACTGCAACTAGGAATGTATTCTATACTAGCAGACAGTGAGTTTAACTTGCTCAGTAATCTGCATATCTTGTATATCTTTTTTGACACTTTACAGGCAGTTTGGGTTATTTACAGTAAAGTATCATAACTGTGCTATCCCAATAAACAGCAGTTATTTGTTTCAACTGAAATTATGATAAATAAAACATTCATTAGACAAATGCTTTATAATTTCTGAAGAACTATTTTTTTAAATAACTGCATTAGCAATGCAGAGACTAAATAGCATAAAGAAGCTATGGCAAAGCACTGGTAAAATGGTTAGAGTAAAAATCTTGAGATCATGCACTTTTCCTGTTGCAACTTATGGTTGTGAGTCTTGGACTCTCAGTCATTGAGGAAAAATATTGGAGCTTTTGAAATAAAATTTTATAGAAAAATTCTTAGAATACCATGGATCAGGAAGAAGAAAAACATCGACATTCTGAACGAGTTGAACATCCAGGAGAACAGGCTCATAAACAGCATCCTGCTGCGAAAGTTGAAGTATTTTGACCACATCAAGCGTCATGGTGGCTTGGAAAAAAACTGTTATGGAAGGTGCAGTTTGAGCAACGCATGGCTGAGGTTAACCACCACAAAGATGGATACAGGACATAGAAGATGCACTGGCATTGAAAGCACATGAGGCTGGACAGCTGGCTATGGAAAGGGATACTTTCAGGTGTGCCGTGAAGAGAGCGACGTTCTGTAAAGGACTTGCTGATTGATGGTAGATGATTACATCACTTCCTTCAAATACTAGCTGAAGAGCGAATTAATAGTGAGCAAATGAAGCTTACTACCCTGGCTAGAAACATATATATAAAAAATAAGTAAATTCCCCTTTTCTACCTTACTGGTGCAATGAGCATAATATGCTAGTCATATTTTTGTAGACCAGGTTGTACTTGGTGTGTGATTTGGTCAATCAACATTATGTCATCTGCCTTTGCTTCTCAGGACTTTACCCGGTACCCCCCTTTGTGTGTGTGTGTGTTTTTTTTTAGGAGCCAAAGGCCAATTTTGTGTTTTATTCGGACTCGATGCAGATACAGACCCAAGACCTTGAGGCCAGTGGCGAGCATCTAGCCACTACACCACTATGACTCTTCCATGCACACACACACACACACTTATATTCTTCCTACAATCTATCAAATCAACCTGTATCTCTGAACACCTCCTTATAAGATAAAACAGACAAATAGCTGCTAGCCAGAAGTGTAATTAGGGGTTTTTTTAAAGCATGTATTTGAAAAAATAATTAGCACACAAAAATAAATTTCCCATTGAAGCAATTAAAATTATGAAGATAAAGAAATGAGTCATAAGTATTTGTAGAAAAAACATAAAGACAAAAGGTTATTATCCAGAACACAAAATGTTGAATAAAATACAATACAGCACATGAAGAAAGAATATACAACATGCCTATCATAAACTTGTCACAGTTGTTTCCTGCAGCATCAAGTGAAACACATAATGACTGCTTTCATTATGGTCTTCTGTTGTGTAATATTTCATATTATGGCTTTCTAAGACATAACTATGGCACTAAATGTCAAAATGATCACAAAACTTTATAGAGAACTAAAATCCTCAAATAAATATTTTTTTTTTTTAAACTGTATAGAATATATCTGATAAAGTAATTATTTTAACTCAGGCATTTTAGAAATATATTCTAAGTGGCCAGCCATTTCCTCAATTTCTTTGTGTAAAGCACCCAACTTCCCACACCCCAATAACAAGCAATGGCTAAGGAAACTTGTCTTGGCAACTCGTTAACACTGAGGATTAGCAAGTGTTTATGTTTACTTAATTTGTTAATAACTTTATCTTTCTTCTCACAATCATGGTTATTACAATAAAGCATTAATCACACAATCATTCACTGTTCAATCTTACATGCCCCGCTTCAGCAAGCATATTGTTTTTTACAATTCAAATGTTTCACAAGTATGTACTGCTATAAAAGATATACAAATAGAATTCAGAATCATTAGGATACATAAATATGATTAAGAATCATACAAACACTTTCATAATCACAAAATTATTTTGACCTGAGGGTAAGCAGTATCTGGACACTTCAGCTACAGGGAATGATGAAAGATCTTCAGTGCACTTCTATGGTATTTTATAATTGTTTTTGAAACATACCGCTAGTATACGCTCTTCAGGAAGGCAATACATTGAAAATAATGAAGGTGTACGCTCTTCATAAAGGCATTACATTTAAAATAATGCACTGACATGAAGACAAATGAAGTACTTCTGAATAACAATTAAGTGTTCAAATAAATAACACACAAGAAATGTCTGTGGCAAGGGTACTGCTCTTTCAACTAATCCAAATTATTGCAAACTTCAGTTACTTAGACAATTTATCCACAAAACCAGACAACAGATAATTTGTGCCTGTGTTCTCAGAAGGTACCAGATCAACATCAATGCCACCTATTACCAACTTGTTTATCGCGAGTCTGTATACATGGTAAGTCAGAAGTACAGCTATACATTTCAGAATTTGAACTGTGCTTGCTGCTGAGAATAAGAATGAAGCATGTATGGGAATGTCCTAAGTGCTGTGATGATGGTTCTTGACTCAGCTCAACTCTTCATTTAGTTTATAGAACTGCCTATCCAATAGTCTTCAGTAGTCATAATACTGTCAACAATGTAGCCATATTTCTGATTCACCCTGTACAAAATACCCATCTATTTGAGATCAAACACCTCCACGAGCAGTGGTTCCAGGTTAGTAATATCCAAAGTTGAGGCCATGTGACAACTTTCCTCTCCGAGATCCCGAACATCGAGCAACTTCACCAGCAGTTTTGGGTAGATAACCTTGGCCTCGGCCACAGTGTGCACGGATTCTAGGTATGCCTTCAGCCACAACGAATGCCGCTCTTGGCTCTGGGACACCTTCTGTTTGTCTGTCAGGTTTGCCCGGTCGGGGGACATGAGATCAATGATAAACAGCAGCATTAACACAGTTCTGTTGTTGCCAGAAATCTCCTGCAGCTGCCGCACGAAGTTCATGTGCTGCATAAACATGGATGAGCCCAGAGTGTTTATAACTGTGGAGTCTAATTTGCCTTCCCCTTTTGGCGCATTGGGTTCGCTGGACTGCTGGAATTTGAACTTCCAGCCGTTGTTCTTTGAATCAAAACCCATGGCCGATCGGAGGACAAACATCTCCATAATACCACCCTGCAACAACAACAAATATGTATTTTATTTTTTTTAACTTAAAAGAAGAAGTATGTGTGTGTCTGCCTGTAATTCCAACTGTAAGCATGGTTGGATGCATGTGTAAAAAAAAAAAAAAAAATTTAAGAGTAGGGGGAAACTGATCTCATCCTTTTCAATGCCTTCTGTTAAAAACATTTCTCTAAACAAAGAGTAAAGTACTCTGGACTTTTCTGATTTCCATATCTTCCATTCATCGTGTAGAACTCTTCAGTTCATACCTATACTGACATACACACATTCACATACACACAAAACATACACGCAAGCATACATGCCCCCCCCCCATCCCCCTCCCCTTTCCCCCCATTCACATGTTTAAAAAAATGATTAAAGCATGACTATACCTGCGGGACAGCAAAAGTACAATTCTTATTAACCATTTAATAAAGAAACAATAATGGAACTAGGCATACGATGTGAGTTTGGAAGCTGAAAGTTCAAACAGAGTTATGTGTGTTAATATTAAAGATATAAACAAGTGGAGACAAAAACTAATTTGCCTTTCTTTAAGACTGAGTCAATCATTGTAACGATAGTTACACTCAGAGCGTTATTGATAACAGGCATTGGTACTCTGAAAAACGAGTGCTTAGAAGGGCGGAATGTCAGACGGGCCTGTGTTCCCAATTTGTAACCCTTTGAAAATAAAGTTTGTTTGTTTGTTCGTTCGTTCGTAAACCTGATCCACATTACTGTGCCATTAATACATCCACAAATATAAGCTGATAAGTCTTCTTCTTCTTTGCGTTCACCGGCTGTAAACTCCGGTGCAAAGTTCTTGTTGTTAATCCACTTCTGGACTGCAGTCCTGTTTCAGAACTAGTGTTGTGTGTGCATCCGTTTGACAGATCTGACTCATTTGTGTGCAGACTGTTGGTTCCTTGCCTCTCAGGCAGGAACACTCTCACTTCGAAGGAAGCTCCAAAGTAGTCGACACAACATGCTTTTGGGTAGCTCATAGCAGATAAGAGTTAGTGCGTTTTGATGCCATTTTGTGTGGTTCTCTAGCTTAGAGGTTAGCGGATGAGTTTTAAAATGGTATGGTCTTTAATTAATAGGGCTTCAATTTCCTTGGCAGATAGTTTATTTTCTTTTTTTAAAGGATTCTCATAGTTTTCAGATGACGGTACAAGAGTCATACCATGGAAAATATTAGGGCCTCACCATGTAAAATTTCCACACACAGCAGAAGGATGCACTGTGGCCAACCCTCAACCTTAAAGACACTCCCAATGTATGCAAGTCTGTGTTCTCTTTTGTCACACCTAATTGCGTGTATGGGTGCAGTTGTAGCAGATAGTTTCTCTTTCTGGGTTTACCTTTATGTTATGTTATCACAATCGACATCACTGCACATTGGGCATTTCCATGTGTGCTCAGTCCTCCGATGCAGCAGCCACTCCAAAGTACTTCTACTAATTGTTCCCATGAGAAGCTGGTTATATTGTCTCCTATCTCAGCCTCAAAGACGGCATAAAAGTGCTTCATCATGCTTTACTCCCATGTCACGCAATCGTGTTAGTGTCAGGAATTCATCATTATCCACTAGCCCAATCTGTACAGCGTTAAAGGATATCTGCTGGGTCCATGCTTTTTCCCGCAATCCTTAGAGCAGTGCTTGCCAGGTGGTCCGCTCGCTCATTTCCCTTTACGCAAGCATTACCCGAAGATCCAGGTGAGGGAGGTTAAGTGCACTTTTCGAGTTCACCTTTACAATGGTGATTGGCATGCTGCATTGTGGTTTACAGCTAGGCTATGATACTGACATCTTCTAGCGCAATCCCTAATAAGTTGCAGTTTATAACATGCTTGTTGGAGGTGAGGGTTTCCATTTGTGGGGGTTACCATCTTCAATTACTGCATAACTAGAAACCTAATCTAGGTAGAGATAAAAGCCTGTACCAGTGTACTTCAAACCTTTCAATAATATATAACTGATTCTTGCAAAGTGATGTTTAAAATCAGTTTCCCAAATATTTTGGTTGACAGAGCCTTTGGGAGGTGCAAAAAGAGCCTTGCCTGGTACTGGCTGGGGACCGTTGTTTTAAATGGATGTGTGATGTCATCACAATGAAAGTTGCCTGCAGTCCATCCACAGCTGGTTGTCTTTTGGAATTGTATGTGGTAATGTTCCAATCTCTTCCTCATACTACAATCTGAATGCCATTACAGCAGCAATTCAGAAGAAAAAAAAAACTGTCTGACCACATGTGGTCGCAAAACTGGGGGTTTCTCTGCGACTGCAAATGATAAGGTAATCAAACCCACTATTTTCACTGACATGTAAAAGGTGAATAAAGCTGCTTATACAGACTCCATGTTGTCTGCTAACTGTTCATACATCCTTTACAAGTGTGCTCTAGCCAAAAACCTTCACAGTCAAGTACCCTTTGCTATCCCGAGTGTGGCTATTATCCTTTTACATTTGTACAGCTCTTTGAAGCAGCATATGGAGATACAGCAGGCTGGGGTCAAACATTTATGATCTTCACGTACAGGAAATTTATTCATAGTCGGCTCCCTCCCCCCCCCCCCCCCCTTCTCTCTCTCTCTCTCTCTTTCTCTCTTTCTCTCTATCATGATACCTTTCCTCTTCTGTCCTGCAATTTTTTTTTTTCGATTTTATCACCTATGCATATATCTCTGAATCGGTCTCTCTCTCTCTCTCTCTCTCTCTCTGACTTGTGCATTTCTTTCTGTCTCTTTCTCTTTATCTGATTTTTATTTTATTTTTTTCTCTCTCAATCTCTCTCTCACTCTCTCTGAATCTGTTTTTCTTTATCTCTCTCTTCCCCCCCTCTCTCTCTCTCTCTCTCTCTGAATCTGTTTCTCCCTCTCTCTGAAACTGTTTTTCTCCCTCTCTCTAAATCTATATTTCTTTCTGAATCTGGTTTTATTTCTCTCTACCCTTCTTTCTGAATCTGTTTCACTCTCTCTGAATCTGTTTCTCGCTCTCCCTCTCTCTCTCTGAATCTGTTATTCTCTCTCTGATTCTGGTTATTTTACTCTCTCTAAAGCTATTTCTCTCTCTCTCTCTCTCTCTCTCTCTCTCTGAATATGTTTTTCTCTCTCCCTGAATCTGTTTCTCTCTCTCTCTCTCCCTGAATCTGTTTCTCTCTCTCTCACTGAATCTGTTTCTCTCTCTCTCTCTCTCTCTCTCTCTCTCTCTCTCTCTCTCTCTCTCTCTCTGAATCTCTCTCTCTCTGAATCTGTGTTTCTCCCTCTCTCTGAATTTGTTTTTCTCTCTCTTAATATGTTTTCCTTTATTTCTATCTCTCTCTAAATCTATTTTTTTCTCTTTTTCTCTGAACCTGTTTCTTTCTTTTTCTCTCTCTCTCTAAATCTGTTTTTCTTTATTCTCTCTCTCTCTCTGAATCTGTTATTCTCTCTCCGATTCTGGTTATTTTACTCTCTCTAAAGCTATTTCTCTCTCTCTCTCTCTCTGAATCTCTCTCTCTCTGAATCTATGTTTCTCCCTCTCTCTGAATTTTTTTTCCTCTCCTAGTCTGTGTTCCTTTATTTCTTTCTCTCTCTAAATCTATTTTTTTCTCTTTCTCTGAACCTGTTTTTCTCTCTCTCTCTCTCTCTCTCCCTCTCTCTTTCTCCCTCTGAATCTGTTTATTCTTCTTCTTTATTTTACTCTCTAAATCTTTGTTAATCTTTCTCTGAATCTGTTTCTCTCTCTCTCTCTCTCTCTCTCTCTCTCTCTCTCTCTCTCTCTCTCTCTCTCTCTCTCTGTTTTTCTCTCTCTCTCTCTCAATCTATTTTTCTCCTTCTCTCTGAATCTATTTGTCTCTTTCTTTATGAATACGTGTTTATTTATCTCTCTCCCCCTGTCTCTGAATCTGGTTCACTCTCTCTCTCTCTCACTGAATCTGATTTTCTCTTTCTCTCTCTGAATCTGTTTTCTCTCCTCTCTTTCTGAACCTATCTCTCTCTCTCTCTCTCTCTCTCGCTCTCTCTGTCTCTCTCTCTCGCTCACTCTCTCTCTCGCTCTCTCGCTCACTCTCTCTCTCGCTCTCTCTCTCTCTGAATCTGTTTTTCTCTTTCTGCCTGAATATGTTTTTTTCTCTCTCATTTCCCCTTATCTCCCCCTCTCATTTCCCCTTATCTCCCTCTCTCATTTCCCCTTATCTCCCCCTCTCATTTTCCCTTATCTTGCCCTTCTCGTACACACACATTCAGACCACTGTTCAAGAGTGCTCTACCTGCCAACAGACTGTGCGCAACAGCAAGCTATGATGTTCAGGACAAGTGAGAAATGAAAGAGGCTGCCGACCATGAAAAGAACAGACATTGGGGGAGGGGAGAGACCGCAGTCCATAAAAACTACCACACATGAAGCTCAGTTTATACTTCATCTCGTCTAAGAGGATCAAGATGAGATGAGATAAGACTTTTACAAAAACACACTCAAAAACTGAACTCTGAAATACTTAAGCAAGAGGAATGCTTTTAGCAGAAAAATAAGAGGCAGCAAGAAGTACAAATAAATGGAGAGCAAATGTTTATATCATACGCTGTGCTTTGAAGCTCTATATTTGTGTATATAAAAGGATTTGTTCTCTTTTTTAATTAATTTTTTTTCAAGTAAAGGAAAGAAGGTAAGGAGGGAGAAAAGGAAGAAAAAATAGGAAAAAACAGCAAGGAAAGTAAAAACACCAGTAACAGATTATGATTTTTCCTGTCCAGAAATATCCCATCTAATGTGGGTGATGAAGAGACTGATTATTCTATAAAATAATCTACCATATGTGAGGTATAATACTGCAGAAGATATTCACCAAAACTACCCCCCAAAAAATGACACCTGTGACAAGAGACCCACCTTTAGTAAATGAATCTGATCTGACTGTGAAAGAGCTTTGAATTCCGGAATATGTTTAGCAAAACGTATAAGCCTCCGTATGAATACGTCAGTCATGTTGAACAGCTGATTAGCAGTTTTTGGTTTCTCTGTCAGCTTTGATGTCTGGTCTTGAGTATAAGCTGCCTCAAATATTTCATCATACGTCCTTGCCAAATCCTGGAGGGTGGCTTTAATGTGAGGGCTGAGAGGTATAATGTAATCTTCAGTGTCTTCCATTGCTTCTGATTTGACAATTGAGCAACCCGCTAAATCATCCGAGGATCCTACAGGATCATGGAGGGGAGTAATAACTACTGGAACCTGAGAGATATTCTGGTAGTAGCCATCATCATCTTCAGAAGAATACTCCATCTTGGACTGCCTGCCTGTAGTCAGTGAAGGAATGCTGGATATTTGCTGGGAGGACTGTGGCACTGGCAGCAGGTGTGGCATGTAAGATGGCGGCGAGGTGGTGGAGGTTGGTGATAATGAGCCCTCGTATGAGTAATGATGCTTGAGAGGAGACGGGGTTGTGGATGAGCATGGCTCGTAGTAGCCGGCCGGGGTTAGAGGCATGTAGTCACCACTGTCACTTCCGCATGTGCTGCTGGGAAGGCGCTGGTGGTTTGGGAAAGTGGACATCTGGTAATCCCTTTGTGAATAAGGCGTGGAGCTGTCGTCGCCCAACATGTCATTTGACGTGGAAGAGCAAAACTGAGCATCCGATGAGGAACTACCAGTTGAATGTACCTGCTTTGTATGCTGTCGCTGCCTCCTCTTGACCAGCTGATCTTCACCTGCGGAGAAAACAAAGGTTGAAAATAAGTCAGCAAAGGACTCTAACTGTGCCACTGGCACATCAGGCATATGACGTCATATTTATTATTGGCCAACTGACAATCGGTGGTGAATGTGGTCAACATCACGATGTCCATCTTTACTTCCCAGGACTTTATCTGGTACACCCTTTAGGCTGGGTCAACATAGAAGCCAAGGTCAATTTTGAAAGAAAAAAGTACTTTATTTTTAATTACCCTCCAAACAAAGAAAATCCCTGAGTTTCTGTGAAAGTCCAGTATTCTAAGGATATTATGGGTTAGGGTTAGTTGCTGTTGCTGAGATGGTTTGGGCTGACAAAGATCGTAACCTAACCCATAACACCCCAAGAACATTGAACTCCCGGATTTCCTTTGATTGGGGTGATTTAAAAAAAAAGTACGTTTCAACACAAGACCTTTGGACTGGTAAGCGAGCACCTAGACAACAACAAATTATTTCAGAATAACAGTTTTAGCTTTATGCAGTTTTAAATAAAGCTGACACAAACAATAACAAGCACAGTTTGTCACAAATATTTGTCCGTCTCTCATCAGGTGTACAACAAAACAAATAATGAAGCATAAAACATGAATCATTCCACAGGAAATTCACAAATTACACTGTCTCTTGCTTTGCTGCACATCCAGGCATCGGAATTTCAAGATTAACCATGTGCTTACCACGGAAGTCTTGTTATATGACTACTTATATGGTATGTGGTTTATTAGATGAAACAAAAGACCCAAAAAAATGATAGATAGTGAATGGATTTTTAAAAAAAGACAGATCACTGCATAGGTGACTGGATAAATAAATGACAGGATTAATAAACATATGAATGGATGGAAAGATGGATGAATAAATGAATGAATGAATGAATGAATAAATCAATCAATCAAGATCTGATATCATTGCACTCTGGACATTCCCACACATGCTCCGTCTTCTTCCACAGTAGCCAATGAAGAGCTGACATGTTAACAGTACCAGTTGCAACCTGATTAAAAGTCCGCTTAAGTTTCCCCGCTTAGTGTTGAATATTTTCTAGACCCTCGGCTTACCAGAACTGAATTAGTCTTTCAAGGTATGGATTAAGAAAAGGCATATGAATGGACACCCATAGATGGATAAATAAGTAGACAAATTGACTAACAATTAGACAAATATTCAGAGATTGATAAATAAGTCGATGAACTGGCTAACAAATAGACAAATATCCACAGATGTATAAATATGCAGATGAACTGACTGATTAATGGACAAATATCCAGAGATAGATAAATAAGTTGATGAACTGGCTAACAAATAGACAAATATCCATAGATGTATAAATATGCAGATGAATTGACTGATAGAAAAAATAGACAAATGATGTATAGACAGATGACAATCTTGGGAATATAGCTTTTAAATTTTCTTAGCATTTTTTAAAAGCATTTAAATACTATAATGTGTCTTCTCATATTTTCTTAAATGGATATTATGTGCAAAGACACTAGTATGTGTATTAATTTGTTCTCAGTTGACATAAATATCTCAACTTCTGGCACTTTAGATATTTACCATTATAAACTCCGGACTTATATAAGCTTTTCCCCTGTGTGGGATCGTGGGTGTCATTTGGAGGGGAGAAATAATAATCCACTATCTCCCTAACAAGCACGTCATACAAGGCAACTAACTAATCAGGGGAATTTCCTTAACTAATCAGGGGAATTTCCTTTGAGGTCGAAGTGCATCTGTCTGAGAGGTGACCAACAGTCTGCCTACAAAAATGCCAGATTTGTAAAACATATATGCACACAAAACTCAAGTTCTGACCAAAGTCCAGTAATGAACATACAACCAGAAACTTCCACTGTGAAGCAGAACAGATATAAGTATAAGAGACGGTTCCCCCCCCCCCCCCCCTTTTCCACCAGTTCTTTTCCTCACCACCACCACCCACCCATCCCCAGGCGGATGTAAAGTCAGGAAGATAATTTCACTGCACAGAGCTAAATCCCATATTGCACTTTCCACAAAATCAAGATTGATTTCACTGTACAGGGTTAAATCCCATACAGCCGGTTCTTTATCCACAATCTGGGTGGAAATTTGTCAAGAGCACTGTCTAAAGCATGAAATCCCTTAATTTAGTGATGATCTCCAGGAATCCAGGTAAAAACTTGCAGTTGAAGTAAGTGGCGCATCCGTGGAACAAACCCATGACCTTCAGAGCATGAGGTAAATGGCTTACTTGCAACTGAACCACTGAGCTGGGAGCCACCTTACAAAAGTAATAGACGATATTACATATAAAGTAATATTTCAGTCAAGCAAAGGTACAAAGTAACTTACTCAAGATCCAATCTTTCTTCATCCCAATTGTAAAGCATTTCTTCAGCCTACATCCTGAACAAAATTTACGGGTGTGAGGGTCCATTTTACAGTTACCCTCAAAACTGCATGTGAATGGCTGAGGATACAAAATCAATCGTATGATACACATATTTTAAACTCATCCAATAAATACACTCAAAATAAAAATAAAATGTAAAAAAAAGATGTCAACTACAGTAAGAAAGAAACAAAAAAGTGCTGTACAGAACCTGTGTTGTTAGTTTTATATATAGATATGAGACATGGATAATAAGCAGATGGGATGGTTGTTGTTTTTTTATTACATGCAGCGGAAATGTGAGTTTTAAATTTTTTTTTTTTTTTTCAAAGAATGCAAAAAAATATCCTGGAATGATAGAAAAACAAACGAAGCAGTTGTCCTCAAAATAGATGAAAGTTGTAAAATGTTTGTCTCGCTCCCCCCCCCCCCTAAATTAAGAAGTAGACAGCTGGTGTTTTTCGGACATGTCCTGAGAAGAAAGGGACTTGAGAACTTGGTAATTACTGGCAAAGCTGAAGGTTACAGAGCAACTAGTAGGCAAAAAGATAAATATCTGGATGGCTCAGCTAAATGAACGGGGTGAGACAAGAACCTTATCCATGATTCCAGGGACCGTGTGAGATGGCAAATCATGAAAGCCTACGCTCCTCGGCACGGCACATGATGATGACGATTTAAAACTCTGACCATGTCTACACTTTTTCCTTTGTCACATTTAAAACTACTATTTTATTAGAGAACCTACATGTCACCCTTTTTAATACTGTATCATCAATATATTGAGTAACAAATAAGGGACATTTGTATTTTATTACTACATGGCATTGGAGCAGAAGGCAAGAACCTGGGTATTTCTGGATCTATAACTTCATCATCCTCAAGATAAATATGCAGAAACTGTTCCCTTGCATATTTCAGTTTACTCTGTAATTGCAAACCTCATCAACTCCTTTTCTGTTCTTAATTCATATAGTTGTAACTGTTTCCTTTCCTCCTTCTCGTTTGATAAAAATGTCCTATTTATTATACATTTCTTTTGCTTTTCTGCCAATTTATGCATATGACAAATGCAGTCTCTAATCTAAATGCCAAATAATAACACACACACACAAAATATACAACACGAATTCTAACAAAGCCCTTCACTCCCAGCAACAGCACAATTCAAGTTATCAATACATTAGAAAACAAAGCAGACCAGACCAAGTCACCAAAATTCTGAACACCACAGTTTACGAATAAAACATCCATTATGTAAAATCTGTTTACTGAAATTCTGGAGAAATAAGGTTCTGACAAATGTGAGAGAGAGAAGACCAACCAATTGTGAGGAATGACTGACAAATGGTTAAGATTGGTGGGCTCTCATGCAGGCGAACGAAATTCAAAATGTCTAAAAGACTATGACTTTCTTCTGTTGTGGGCAAAAATAAAATCCTAACTTGCACAGTCCATGGTGACTGCACTAGCCAAACAGAGCTAACTGTATGGGTGCTAAGACACCTGCTCCTAAAAAAATGGACATTTCACCAAGGGGACTAGATGTTAATTAATCAACACAGAATAATCGCCATCCGTCCTTTTGCACTCGTGGAGCTTCTGAGGAGTAGATCAGAGCATCTATGGATCTGTCCAGAGTGCTGTGATGATAATCCTCACTGATCAAACCCCTTCCCTACACTGCAAAAGATGTACATACAGGCAATAAACACAGTTTCATGTTAAATTTGGCTTTCTTTTGTACAACAAACTGAGGTAGCTCTTTTGGGTTTTCTTAACAAGTTTACTAGCTGTTCCCAGACAACATGAGTATCATTCATAAATGTCTACCTCAGCATATTAACAATGTGCAAAAGCAAATCAGGTAATGGAACAACTAACATCACTTCTGATATATAGAAACACCCTTCATCTATCAAGACAAATCTAAACTAAGAGCAGATGTTAGGACTGTTTGTGCTCTCTTTCTAGTTTTTGGCCAAGTTTGCTACCAGTGTCAAACATTCATTCTCAATATAACTGATGAGTGGAAAATGAAATGTCTTAGAAGAACTGTCTAGGCAACAACAAGAAAACAGACTAACTTAAAAATGAAGAAAGTAGAAGGCTAGTACTAAAACCAGCCATACAGTTCTTTAACTCTTTGAGTCCCAGGGGGCATAACAGGCCCAGGGGGAAGTAATGAAAGTAATAAAATCGGCGCATCATGCGTTCATTGGGCTTCTAGGTAGGAACCTATGAACGTGTGATGCGTTCCTTGGGACTCAAAGAGTTAAAACATCATAAATAAGATGGTTTGGCAATCTGATGAGAATATCTCGTTACCAGCTGTCACAGAAAGCCACTCTGAATAAATAATTGAGCACAAGCACAGAGTCAGGGGCATTAAGAACAACTTTGAATAATGAAACCAACTTACAGAATGCATAAGAAAGAGCAAACAGACAATCCTTACATCTCCTCTCCTCTCCACCTCCCTTTGCACCTTGCTGAAGTAACCGAAGAGAGTGAAGAAGATACCCCAAATTTTCCTGGTAAACAGTTTACAAGGAAAACAACAGCGGTCTATGAAAGCTCCCACATACCTTTGTTTTGAGAGCATTCCTTCGAAAGAATGCCTTACACGATTCACAACTGACAGCATCAAAGTTGTATCCGAGAGCTCGGTCTCCACACACCCCACATAGGAGAACAGATCCATCCTTGGGCTTTGGCCGTCTTTTCTGCTCACGTTTTGACTGGGATGGTGATCTGTGAGGGCCACTCTGGAGACGACATTGTACATTTTAAACAGAGACTACTAACATGTACTTATAACTCACTTATACACTCATACAAATCTGTGCACTGTGTGAGGACACATTCACCCTGAGACTTATTTTAGAAGAATTTGTTGAAAAACAACAATCCTTTATTTTGAATATTATCAACTTTAAAAAGGTTTTTACATAACTTACACAGAAAATAATTGTTGGGAATTTGGAATGCTATGGTATGACAACAAAAATAATGAATATCATTAAAGCAATGTATGAGCAGTTTCCTGAGTGTGCACTGCAAACAGATGATGGTTTGGCTGGCTGGTGTGCCATTGAAACTGGAGGGAAACAAGGAAGTATTTTATCTCCCATGTTATTTGGCATAACCAATGACTGAGTGATGAGAAAATATTGTGTTGGAAACACCGGCACTGACTTGGTGAAGAACACACAGTTGCAAGATCTTGCTTCTGCTGATGAAACACCGGCACTGACTTGGTGAAGAACACACAGTTGCAAGATCTTGATTCTGCTGATGAAACACCGGCACTGACTTGGTGAAGAACACACAGTTGCAAGATCTTGCTTCTGCTGATGAAACACCGGCACTGACTTGGTGAAGAACACACAGTTGCAAGATCTTGCTTCTGCTGATGATACTGTTCTGCTAAGTTGAAAACAACAATGGCAAGCAAAGAAACACAGATGATTTAGTATCAAAAGCTGTTCTGCAAATAAGTTATGAAAAGACAAACATACCAGAAGACACCAAAAACAGATCAAGCAGATGTAACATTAGAGACAAAAGGAATTCAAGTAACAGATCCTTGACTTTTTCAGATAGCAATTTTCATAGTCCAGGAGATACAAAGACAGAAACTGTCGACACAAACTGGCAAGGCATCAGTACAGTGCTTCCCAAACTGTGTGTCATCAGTTCCCAAACTGTGTGCCGTGAAATATTCAAAGATGAAAGTTTTTTTTTTTTTTTTTAATCTGTTACATACTAATCAATAGTCATATTTTGACTTAGTTTAGGGCGTCATGGAAACATTTTTAATTGAAAAAAGGTGCTGTGACTAAAAAAAAGTTTGGGAAACAATGCACCAGTAAATTTTGACAGCCTGAGCAAAGTGTGGTTTTAAAACCAGGCTATGTATTTTCAATTCTAATGTTTAAATGAAACAATCCAGTGAAAACCAAAAAACTGCTAAAGACCTGCAAACAAAAGTTCAATGCATATGAAAATAAATGCCTGAGAACATTTGTGAACACAGAATGGGATTAAATAAAGAGGGATAACAAAATAAGAGAAATGCCTGGACAATCACTGGTAACAGCTGTTATAAGACAGAAAATAGCACTATACCAGACAATCACTGGTAACAGCTGTTATAAGACAGAAAATGGCACTATACCAGACAATCATTGGTAACAACTGTTATAAGACAGAAAATGGCACTATACCAGACAATCACTGGTAACAGCTGTTATAAGACAGAAAATGGCACTATACCAGACAATCATTGGTAACAGCTGTTATAAGACACAGACAATGGCACTATACCAGAACAATCACTGGTAACAGCTGTTATAAGACAGAAAATGGCACTATACCATACAATCATTGAGTAACAACTGTTATAAGAAAAAAAAAAATGGCACTATACCAGACAATCACTGGTAACAGCTGTTATAAGACAGAAAATGGCACTATACCAGACAATCACTGGTAACAGCTGTTATAAGACACAGACAATAGCACTATACTGGACACATCCTGAGAAGAAACAAGCAGAGATTTACTAAACATGTGCTGAAATGGGAAATAAAGTGACTGAGGAGGGATGGATGTCCAAAAGAAACCCTAAATTGAACGTTAGTGAGAGAGGCCAAGGGTGCTGGAGTGGATACCATCTACGATATCAAAAAGATTGCACAGGATAGATTAGAACAGAATAGAGAAAGAAGAGTGGACGGTGGTCAGCTCTATGTGACACATGATGGCACCACAGGACAATGCTGATTATGATGATGTGTGAGACATGTATTTGATACCTGTTCACATTTCCCGACCCATCTACACACTTTCTCAGTCTGATCTAGATCGGAGGGGTGTCACGTTGTACTGCTTTCTTCGAACATGCGACATTGGTGGTCGTGCAGTTTAGAACATGCAACATCTGTGCTGATGTAACCAGAATTAAGGCAACACAGACGTAGTAGAGTCGGAGAAAGAGTGAATGAAAGGTCAGGTAGTGTGTAGAGATGGGCAAGGAAACGTGAACAGGGCCTGTATTTGGATAAACACACACACACACACACAAATAAATAATGTTAAACAATAGTGTGTGTATCTGTGTCAATTAAAATACTATAAGAGCATGTTCCTGTTTTACCTATCAGCACTAGGTTATCAAGAGATATGCAAGCAGATGAGCCGTTTCTGTAAACAGGGATGTTCGCTGTCTCCAATTTGCTATGTATGCAAGATTTTGGCAACAATACACTTTTGGCAACCTTACAATAATTTCACAGCTGCCGCCTCTTTATCATTACACTACATGTTTACTACGATTCAGATTACAACTGCAACAAACAGGTGCAATGTTTGTTTCTTCTGTTTAGCCCAGGATGTAAAAATAAAACAAGTTTAACGAACGGTGTTCATTAAGTTACTGATTGTTAACTTTTTGTTACTGATAAATTAACTCAAAACAAAGGTGGTACTGGTACTGAGAATTTATTCTATAGTCTATGAGTCTATGAAATCTCCAAGGGTTTTCTTTACCAAACCTTGTAAATTAAAAGAAAGTGTACGGACGACGGTCTCCTTGATACAGAACTGGGCTGCAAAGCACAAGGACCAAGATCTTAAACTATACACACACACCTTACACAGAAAGAAAATGACAGGCGTTATTTTATATAAACATAACGCTGTCCAATCTTGTTGTGGCACTTAATCTAATCGAAATTGGCATACCGTCCTCAGTTCCACTTTGTGGAGTCTGCAGTGTTATTGTGTGGTTCCGGGGACTGACCGGAAATACTAGGCCAAAATCTTAAGGCAAATAATTCATTCCTAAATTATGAACAGTTCTTGTGTTATGTAAACTAAAATACGTGAAGTTATTTAAAACATGTCCAGTTATTTTATCACCCCCCCCCCCTTTTCCATTTTTTTAGGGACTGCACCTAAAAGTGGTGAAAAACTGATATGCATTGATCGGTGAATCCAAGATATTGGATGTGTGAATCGAACAGGAGAGAGACAAGGTCTTGGTCTAGAAAACCCCTGTTCAACCTTAACAATTTCAATGGAGCGGCTTACGGTTACGAAGTGAGAAACTTATCCAGTGTGGACAGTCGGCCTGTTTTGCTGATAGTATACAGTATCTAATCATATTATTAAACTACGCAAAGACTAGCTAAAAAAAAAAATAAAGACTAGAGACGACTGTAAACATTCGTCATAATAATAAATAATGTATCACTAAATTAACTTACATTTGCATCAGCAGACGATGAATTAACCACAACCATGCTGAAATGGCCGCAGAATAACCAGATTTCAATTCGAAATAAAGATAAATCCGCACGACACAAGAAAAAAAGAAAACGTTCACACTTTCATCATAACATCCGTCAGCTGAACTGAATCTGCTATAAGGGGGCGCTCGATGTGATGGGAACCGGGCCAGTAAAATATGCAGGAGAACTAGCTCCAGCGAGCAGGCAGACGCGGGTCACGTCAAGTAGCGCGAGACTGGGAGAGAGGGGAGCAGAAAACTCGGGGGGATATGCATGGAAAACCCTGGCTTCAATGTTTGCATTAGACCAGATCGTTAAACATTCATGTCAACCAGCCTTGGAGGGTTGGTGTCTTCTAAGGCTGCATGAAATATGCCATGCGTTAATATGCAGTATAAAGTTGTCTGAGCGCAGGCCCCAAAGAAAATATTGGGTTGGCTGAATTAACACCCTGCCCTTACCTTGCACATTTTTTTTTCGGAAAAAAATTGGTGTTGGGAAAGGGGGGGGGGCGCTGAGGTCCCTATTATATTAAGAAGAGGAGGGGTGAGGCCTCTCAGCGGCACCACCCAATAATTTTGTAAGGAGACAAGAACCAAAGCCGTCTATAGAAAAGTCGTTGTTAGAACCGCCCCCCTCCCCCATACACACCAAATAATTTTGTACAGGCTAGGTTGCCCCATGAAACCATTTACACACTTGGTTTTTTTTTTTTTTCTCTCCAGATTATTTAAAATTATATTATTATATTTATTTGCTATTCCGCACATTATTATTATTACTGCTAATGAGCTGAATGGCAAATCACCATCATAACATAATTGAAGTGTACAAAGAAAACGTTGGCAAATCACCATCATAACATAATTGAAGTGTACAAAGAAAACGTTGGCAAATCACCATCATAACATAATTGAAGTGTACAAAGAAAACGTTGGCAAATCACCATCATAACATATTGAAGTGTACAAAGAAAAACGTTGGCAAATCACCATCATAACATAATTGAAGTGTACAAAGAAAACGTTGGCAAATCACCATCATAACATAATTGAAGTGTACAAAGAAAACGTTGGCAAATCACCATCATAACATAATTGAAGTGTACAAAGAAAACGTTGGCAAATCACCATCATAACATAATTGAAGTGTACAAAGAAAACGTTGGCAAATCACCATCATAACATAATTGAAGTGTACAAAGAAAACGTTGGCAAATCACCATCATAACATAATTGAAGTGTACAAAGAAAACGTTGGCAAATCACCATCATAACATAATTGAAGTGTACAAAGAAAACGTTGGCAAATCACCATCATAACATAATTGAAGTGTACAAAAAAAACGTTACACTCCCAGTCCCTATTCAAAATTACTGGCTGGCCTGAGCTAACGATTTTGTCAAGCTGAATTATCTTGAAAGCGAACAAATCCAACATAAAGATTAGTATCCAGACAAAATTCAATTCGTTTTTTCCTAACGTTGAAACAATATTACGACTATTCCTATGTCTAAGCGTAACAAACTGTTCTGGGGAAAAATTATATTCAGAGCTATAAAGAAAGAAAAAAAAAAGGAAAAAACAATGTAAGCATTTATTAGAAATATCTGTATGCACAGCATCATGTGTATAGAAAGAAACAAGGTTTGCAACACGGTCTACTTTATTTATTAGAGAAGGCGTTGGTTTGCAACATATTGTTTGATGAAAAGTCAATTATTTTGCATTTCAGATAATAAGGAAAAAATGTTTTGAGCTGTATCTTGTTCTTAACATTTCTAAAGCCACGATCCTTTAATACAGTTCCTCGTGCTGTGGTGCCCCCCCCCCCCCCCACCCCCCCAACCCCCCCCCCCCCCCCCCCCCGCCCCCCCCCCTAGCATAAAATTATTTCAGTTGCTACTTTATAACTTGAGTGAATATGTGTTTCTCGATGGTTGGTCTTAGGCGACCCCTGTGAAACGGTCGTTCGACCGCCAAAGGGGGTCGCGACCCACCGTTTGAGAACCACTGCTTTAGGGGGACTATACAATACAATTTATGTGATTTTGCAAACTACAACACATGCAATTTTTCATTATTTGAAGACCCATCCTGGTTTTTGCCGGGGCCCTAAATATAGCCAGGCCATAAATATGGCTTAACGGCTAAGCGGGGTTTCTGGGACCTCTCCAATGGTGATCCTCATCTGTATGGTGGCACTTTGTGTCACATGGTGTTTATCGCTTTTTGTGATGTCCTGTGGGGTACAATTTAGATGCATACATTCATACATTTTGCAAAATTCTTTTTATTTCTCTGAATAAAAATTGACAATATATTTCCATTACGCCTATCTTTAAAATGTTATTGGAGAGTTCTGTGAGTTTAGCTGGTGTCATTTAAAACGGTAGGGGCCTCACGGCATACTATAATCTAGGGCCTCATCAAGTCTAAATCCAGCTCTAGTATTTAAAATAAAACAGATGATACAAGCGGATAAATGTAACAGGAGAATGGGGCAGAAGAAATTAAAAACAGCGTATTTCGAGGAAAAAAATAATAACTGGTAAAAGTAACGTTGGTCTCCCATTCCCCGCCCATATATACACTAGCCCACTGCTGATTGGTAGTTCCTTAAACTGTCACCTTGACACAAGGTTACAGGGGTATTCCGCAATGCCGTTGATACCGTGTGTTGTATATTTCAGCATGCCGGCGATTTTAACACTCCAAAAACATTGAGAAACTGGTCCTAACACAACTCCTCCTAGAGAGCGCTGCAACCTAGTCACAGGCATTCTCTTTCTCAGTATGAAAATGTAAATGCAAGACATCACTAAAAGCAAACAACAGAGCGGGACACACCCGTAATCTTCAGGAAAGTCGACCAGCCCAACAATTCGGGAATGAAAAGTGACCTACTCTATATGGGGAGATTAACGTGAACCTAAACAATAACTGCTCTGATTCTAGAAAAGCCAAACGAAGGGGCTTACGGAAATAATAGAAATCAAATGGCAGCATTAAAAGTCACCACATTTTTCTAATGTAAACCTACTTAAATAGGATGTCTGAAACTGGCGGGGGAAAAAAGAGGAGTCAACGAGACTCGTGGGAAGACATCTTCAAAAACTGGACAAACCGCAGTTTGTAGTACACAGGGCAGATCGCTAACGGCGCTCTCAGATGTGGCGAATTTATTTTATTCCCATAAATAACCATATGATTGAACTCTAATATGGATATGAGGAATTTCTTATAAGAATAACCATTTCTTGGAACCTGGTGAGTTCTTCTTATCAGGTCTGCGCGGTATAACCGAACAGAAATACCAGAAAATATTGGAGACTCACTGTAACTGAGATTGTTATGGAGTCGGTAGTAGAGTAGTTGAATTACCGAGAGAAAATTAGTCATTTGTTTCTCAGTTCCTCATTTGGAATTCACTAAACAAAAGAATTATAAAAATACCATACAATGCGTATACGATACGTGACAAAGACAATTAGCAACAGGTCAGTTCTGTTATGGTAACTTATGTCACTGCATATTCTGGTCCATGTGTGCTCAATCCTCTCATTCAGCAGCCATTATAGGAGCTCCACCTCGCCCAGAACCCATTTTACCACCCCATTTCTGGAAATGTTGAGAAGAGGGTTCTCAGCAGGGCCGTCTTAACGCATGGGGCTGCTGGGTAATTGACCGGGGCACCCCATCAGCACAGGGACCCGATGCAAACCTGTGTATGTAAAATGACTTGCCCCAAATACAAACTAATTTGGTGTCAAATAAATTATTTCCTTTTTGCATTCACCGGCTAGTTAACTCTGACGGAAAGTTCTGGTTTTTCATCCGCTTCTGGACTCTAGTCCTCTTCCAGAATCTGAGTGTTCATGTACACCAGTTTCACAGATCTGACTCATGTGTATGCAAACTGTTGGTTTCTTGTAACACATCTGAAGAAGTAAAAGACTAACAGTATTATCCAATAAAGGTCGATATCACTTCAAAAATCTCATGCACAGATCAACCAACAGGCAAATTGAAGACTGTGAGCCCGTGGAACGTTTCTATATGTTCATCCACATCTGTTCTCGTAGAGCAAACAATCTAACAGATACTGTTGTGGATTTTCTTAATGAGAACAAAATTCCGCTATCAAACTGGTCAGTCGTACGATAATGCCTCAGTTATGTCTGGACGATATTTGGATTGTGACCACGGGTTTATCAAATCTATGATTTTGCAATCTGTATCCCCTGTGCTGGATACGGCCTGCCTCAACTTGTAAACTCAAGCAGCAGAGGGATGTCTACAGTCTGTACAATTCTTTGACTTTGTTCAATATCTCTATTAATTGTTTTGTTGGCTCTACTCGTGCGGGGAGGGGTGGGGGTGTAATGACATTATCCTCGGGACAAAGCAGATGTGGTCAAGGCCCTTTGGGAACAAGCAATCAGTACAGAAAGAAGATTATTATGGTCTGGAGAGAATGAGGCACCTGGGTGCAACCAGAGGGTCTGACCGGCTCACCCCACTCAGAGGAAAAGCAAGACAGGCATATAACCAGATTGTGACCGGTACAATCAATATTGAAACTCTCTGCTGCAGATGAGGACGGAGCATGCATGGGAATATCCCGAGTGCCGTGATGTCAATCCTTGACTCAACTCAGCTCAATCCTTGGGAACATTATTTTGTAGTCAAGCGTCTGTCTGACACACGATGGTCTGATTGATTGACCGAGCTCAAGAAAGTTCAAAAGAGTCAAAGACATCGCCGGACATTGGGGGGGGGGGGGGGGTAGGGGCGGAATCTTGGGGTTTTTACACCTTGAGGCACCCTCCCCTAAAAAATAATTTAGAGGTCAGGAGAAGTTGGGGGGGGGGGGGGTGTACCGACATAATCCTTGGAAATTTTGTAGTCAAGCGTCTGTCTGACACATGATGGTCAGCACACTTTGATGCTGTGCACAAATATTTGGAATGACCTGCAAGAAAGAATGGATAAAAAAGCAAGATCCTGCA